GACCCGCATCCCCACGCCGCTTGCCCCCACCTCCAGCTCACACCAGTTAGCCCAGTCTGGCGACTCTGCCTGAGGGGTTGGGTGCCCACCCCAGGGCCAGCCCCGCTCCTCGGCCGGCACACCCGGGGCGGGGGGGGGTCCGGCTGCCCTCCGCGGCCTGTCCCCAAACCGGGCCTCATCCGAGGGGTCGGTAACTGCCCGCAGCATCTCCCGGGCGGCGGTTGCCCTCCAGCAGGCCCTTACATCTTCCCTCTCCGCCGATGAAAAGGGGCTGCGGGTGACAGCACCCCTTCCCCCGACGTGCGGCCGCCCGGCTGTGCGCAGGGGCCGGCGGGGTGACCAGCGGGAGCGACCGCCGCGGGCTCCCGGAGAGGAGATAACGGGGAGACCCTGCTCCATTCCCCGCTTCCCGGGGCGTCTGCTGGTGTCCCTAGTGTCGGGGTAACACCTCTTATTTAGAGCCGCGATTTTGCTCTTTAAGATTAAAAAAAAAAAAATAAGGAGGGGAGAAGAGAAATAAGACAATTACCCAAGAAACGCTCCCGGCTGGCGCCGGCGGAGGTTTAGGGCAAGGCGGCTCTCTGCAATGGAGCAGGGCCCGCAGAGGGGCATTGCCGGCTCTGCTCCAGGTGGACATGTATGAAATTGGTATTTATATGTCCGGGCAAAACTTTGAAGGGGGGGTTCTCTCCCCTTATACGCCGCTGAATGCGGTCCTTCTGCCTCCAGGTCGTGCCGGGGTCACGGCAGCTTCACCGCCCGCCGCGCCCGGGCGGTGTCTCTCCCTCTCCCCATTAAAAAAAATTTTTAAAAAAAAAAAAAAAAAAAAAAAGCCGTAGGGTTTTCCCGCTGCTCCTACTTGATCTCGCTGTATTTCCCGGGAAGAAACTTCCCGGGTTACCTCTCCCCGTCCCCCGAGGCGGGGCTGGCGGGCAGCGCCGGGGCCGCGTTGCCTCTGCCGGCAGCCCCGCACCAGCCCCCGCAGCCCCCCGGCCCCGGCGGGCGGGGGCGAAGCCTCCCTAAGTTGGTGGTGGCGGGGGGCCCCTGAGCCCCGACGGGACGGGCAGCACCTTACCTGTTCTTGGCGGCTGCTGCCCTGTCCCTTTGCCTGCGGTTTTTGAACCAGTTGCCCACTTGCGTGGGGGTAAGTCCCGTGGCCTGAGCCAGTTCCCGCTTTTTGCTGGGGTTGGGGTAAGGGTCCTGCAGGTACCACTCCCGCAGCAAATGCCTCGTCCGCTCCTTGAAGCAATGTGTCTTCTGCTCGCCGTCCCAGATGGTGCGGGGCAGCGGGAACTTCTTCCTCACCCGGTACTTGTCCACCGGCCCCAGGGGTCGGCCCCGCAGCTTCTCCGCCTCCTGGTAGTGCGCTTCCAGCCAGAGGGCTTGCAGTTTGGCGTGGGACTCCTTGGTGAACTTGTGGTTCTCCAGGATGTGGTAGAGCTCCCGGTAGTTCCCCGTGTGGAAGGCCACGATGGCCCGGGCTCTCAGCACCGACTCGTTCTTGTTGAGGGCCTCGCAGGCCGCGGGGGCCACGGGCAGGGACCAGAGGAAGCGCCCCAGGCGCTCGATGTCCCCGCTCTCCTCCAGGGTCTCGCATACCCCGGCCACCTGCTGCGGGCTGAAATTGAGGATGGGCAGCTGGAACATGGAGGCGGCGCCGGGCTCCGCTCCGCGCTCCGCGCACCCCCCGGCGATGCCCGCCGCCGCCG